GGTGGTGGATCAGGGGACAACTTGAAGGTCACCGCCCAACTACCTGGAGTCTAGTGCATCAAGCATGTATGTCTACACAAGTGCAGAAGCCATCTGATTCAACAAAAAACACCTCAATGCAGTGACATACTTGCGGTGGCCATCAAAGGGTTTGTGGGTCTCACTCACAACAAGATATCCGTTGACTCTGATGATGGCTTGATTAACCTTCACTCTATATGCAAAGTGACAGGATTGGGTGGACCAAGCCGGAGGAATGGAACCTTCGAATACTACATGACAGATCCAATCTAACAACCTGGGCTTTATAGTGAAAAATAAATAAATAAATAAATTAATTAAAAAATGTTGCATCTTTCATTATGGCTGGTCAGCGGGTTGATATCCTAATCAAGAGTCAACGGAACCTCCCGAGCTTAGTTCTGGAGGGAGGGAAATGGACATGAAGGACCCATGTGCCATACAAGTGGTTAACAGGGATGGTGGACCCTTTAAACCACCAGTACTTCCTTGAGTCGTGCCCGTTAACGTGCCACGATTTTAGGAAACGTACGGGCTGTGGCCGTTTTTCGTTTTTGCCGTTGGTTTGTTTGGTGTCTACACTAAGGATTGTGAAAGGATTTCATCGCTGTGGTCTGGTCCCCGTCCCCGTCCCAGTCCATGACCAGTCCCAGTTCCTAGTTGCACTGTTGGTCTCAGCCGCTTCCTTCATAAGCACCGGACAACTCCAATCACCCCCTCTTCCTTCTTAGCTCGTGCTTGGGCCCCGTGTTCCAATTTTGTCACAATGTCATTTCATTTCAGCAACAATAAATGCATCTTTGAGCCTGCCCTGTGACAAACTATCTTCTGTAACCGCGCGACTTCCTGCGTGAGGCTGCTATGGGGAAACGGGAGGGCTTTGATGGGTGACGGGCGTAAGCAGGGATCGGTTGGGCAAGTTGCATGGATGCCCTCACTTCTTTTTTGTTTTTGTTGGAATTCATTGGGTCAGCGCCGGGAAAGCCCCGCGCCGACGATTGAATGACCGCGCCCTAGCGAGCGCGAGAAATAACGGTTGCCATAGCTTCTTTCTTGTTCTGCTGTGAGCACTAGGAATTTTGACGCGATTAGTGCGCGGGAATTTTCGTTTTCAAAATTCGAACTAATGTCGAGCCCCCGCAGACTCTCGAAATTGTTTTTCGTTCGAAATTTTCTTTTTGCAATTAGGATTAGACTAGGAATTTAGGCACTTTGGAATTTGGCTGCATGGCGCTTCTTGCTCGCACGCGCTGCGCCTCGACAGGGTCTGGGCTCTGATTTCCATCCGCGCCTTAATCTTGTATGTAACTGTAGCTTTTGGCGGGCGCAATCGCAACTGTAATCTTCTTGTTCTTGATGACCTTGTGTTTTCTTCTTTCCCGCCTTGTCTTCGCATGCACTCTTGTGACACGCCAACCTCACGCCCTGTGCTGTCTCTCGTTCAGAGTGCTAAAAGTGCGGAAAGAAGGCTCAGAAAAACAACAAGATGGGGTGTGCCAAGGATTTTTGAAAAATTGAGTGTAGCGACACAGATAGAACTGAAATCCCCCAAGTTGTCGGTTGCTTTCGCGCGTCGCACAATGCACGCGCCAGCACGGCGCGAAAAGAGAAAAATCCAACTTTAATCCAAAAAGTATTGTCGAGCTTCCCACCGCGCTACGGATCTTCGTTTAGAGCGGAAGGGTTTCGGTACACTCCGCGTATCCCGTTTTCGTATCAAGTCCCGACGTCGCTCGCTGGTCAATTCCTAGTCTGACGTGGATGGTCTCAGCCGCGTGGCTCTTTCCTTGTGCTCGTCTTCACTCCGTATCCRGTAGTGGAAGCCCTTCGATTCGTAGCGATCGAAATGCTGGCACTCAGTGCACAGGGTTCGGGGCTAATGGGACGCCACTGCCGTCCACGGAATGACGATCAACTTGCTAAATGGCAACAGTACTGAGTAGGGTGGGAAGTGCGTATCGATAATGACAAAGYCCGCATCCACGARCCCAGAACAACGATTTTCAGGAGGGAAATAAYATTRTYCGCCGATCCGTGCAACAACTTCTYGTACGTCCCACTCACATACACGTGTCCTTTCCTCGTTGTAGGGGAAGGGGCGCGTCGGCGAGGGAGATACGGAAGGCTGGCGCCCGACCGAGAAACGACCGTTAGTCCACATATCAATCAATCAAACGGAGTTTACACGTCATCAACAAACACGATCGAAAAAGAACTAATTAGTATCTTCCTTCCTTGGAACCCGCACAATCATGCATTAATTGGGTTTGAGTTCCGAGGGACAAACCCGCGACTCTGTTTCAGTAGACCAGATTAACAAAAACACGAAGCTGCCCCACAGACTGCCTGTTGATGTCGTGCAGCATAAGGCAGATGGCATGTGCAGTTCATTCAGAACTACAGATCTTAACACTCTTGCATTGTCGAACAAAATCTCGTCGGGTGCAATCGCAGAAATACAAGCATTTCTATACATACATCCACTGTGGAAGGTGCGAAAATGGTAAGGGAGCACAAGTCAGAAATCAATTAAGGGATTGTACACACGCATCCACCGTTCACAAGACAAGAAAATTGAGTTCCTGGCATTTGGGGATTACTCGGGAAACTAATGGAAGAGTTCCGGAAGCAGTTCTTCTTCGCAGGAGATCACGAGGGTTCACTTCGGGTTACAAGAGAGACAAACCCATAACACATCGTTATACAAGTCGGAGAGAGAGAGAGAGATGGAAGGGATAGACGAGAAAAAGCCAAGACTGACGACACCAAAATTCAACAAGGGAGTATTCGGCTTCATAACCATGAACTCACACCAGAAAAATGATCCGCAATCATGAAGGCGCATTCGCCGTAAAATTCCAATATGGCCTCAGGCCAATCATCCACTGAACTCCAATTACAAATCCTCATACCCGCACCGACGATCCCGACCGTCGCGTGCTAACTTTCGCCACTACGATCGTCACCCCGCTGACGCAGACTCGACTCGGCTCGCCCGGATCCCACAGTCCGTCGTGGCGATCAGGCACGCAGCCGGCCAGACTACAGTTAGCTTGACAGGACTTTTTGACTCGCATCAAACGCCTCACCTAGCCACTGCTCCCCGGAAGCTGGCTTGCGAGTGAAAAACGTAAGAGAGATTTTGCGGGCGCGCTTGCGGAATTTATAGTTGCGGGAAAGGAGATAGATGGGGGAGGAGTCAGAGGGGAGATCGAGGTGCAAGGAGAGAAGGTTCCGCGAAAGGTGCTCAAGGGAAGCCACGTTGATCCTTCAGAACCCGATGTTCGGCCAATCAGATTCGCCGCGCAATAGGAAGGTCATCTTGCTCAACGCGTCTGATTGGTGATCAGGGGTAATTGGAGGATCAACCGGGCTTCGTGAGCCGAGGTTGAAGAGCGAGGAGGGGCTAGGCGCGAAAAGCAGCGCGAGACGGGTCCAAGATTCAGATGATCAAGAAAGGGAAACAGGCACGCAAAAAGCAGAGAGAGAGAGAGAAAACAGTTGCGATAGGGGAAGAAGAGGAGAGGGGGGGGGGGGGGG